TATATATATATATATATATATATATATATATATATATATTGACAATCAAAAGTTTACGGAATCATATTTTTTTCTCATATTTCTGTAAAATATATGAGAGCCTTATCATAATTTTTACTAACCGACTTTATTGCATACGTTTCTTCATGAATTGATGTTCGTTATTTTATAATGCATTATTTATTAATAATAATTAATTTTGAATTTAAAAGAGCAATTTTATCAAAGTTAATTGCTAACTAAAAATTTATGATGCTAAGATACCTATTTTTGTTATTTTCTGAAAAATCTAAATTGTTTCTTTATTTTTATTCAAGATGGGTAATTTATATGCTTTTCTTTAAACTGTTATTATTTACTTTGGAAAGTACTTATCCTTATACTGCATAATTGAATAATAATAATGACATAAATATTCATTTGTAACTAATTTTACAAGGTTAAGAAAGTTTCCCCCTCAAAAGCATAGGAATCGCATAAAATATTTTATTAGCAAACTTTGATGCATATATTTTTAAAAAAACATTTGTTAGTAATTTTAGAATGTCTTATTAATGCTAATATGACAAATGGTATAGAAATTTCAAATAATGTGAAATTTCTTTTATAATTAGAAACTTTCGACATTGGGACACAATTTTTTTTATCAATTAAGCTAGTGATATGTAAATTTAATTAATGCTTCGACAATTTTGTTCTTAATGATGATGAAAGAAGTTTAGTTTTATCTGTTTTATCTGCTCTAATGTTGGAAAATTAGAACAGACAAACTTTAGTTTTTCTGTTTTAATTTTCATTTACTTATCTTCTTTTGCAAGAATTTAATTAATTTATTTCTTCTTGCAATCAGCGAACAGCATTTAAATAATCGGTTAAGTCCTCTTTCTGATAACATGAACTATTTAATAAAAGCAAAATAATAAATATCTCTGTAAGGTACGACAAATCTGAAATCAGTGTATAAAGTTAAAATGTCACATAATTGCAGAGTTTGATGCTCAGTTGCAAGAAAAGCCAGTTCTGTTAATGCTATGCTATGTCCAGCTCTGAATAATGTATTAAATTTGTGAAAAATTAACTTTCGGTAACTGTGCTGTGGTTATGAGATAAATCTAAACTATTCGAATCGTTAAATACGAGATGAGAAGAAACTACCAAATAAGTTGATCACAACTTATATGGTTGTTTCTACAAACTCATCTTGGTAAATGTAATATTTAATTGATAGTTAAGGATTTTTAGAAATATAAGATGGACCTTCCAACTGGATCTGCTCCAACACTAATTAAGGACATTAAAAAAGAATTTTTCCTGTTTTTTTTTACTACTTAGAAATGGCCGCTTTATTCACCAGGTTTGAAATCGGTGGATTATTCCATTTGGAAACAAGGGGATTGTGCTAAGCCTCAAAAGACTTTGGCTTCACAAAAGAAACTTTCCGGTTCATAGCAGAAAGTTTGTGTCACGTTTATGGCCCTGCATCAAACCAAATGTGGTTCACCAACTTATAAAAATGTCACCAGTAGTATTGTTATCGTGTTAATTTGAAAGTTTGCTTGTGATATTTTACTAAGCACTATAATTATTGTGTGTCCATATTATTTCTTGTCTAAATGCACTATCCAAATTAGCTCGAAGCCCAATTTAATTTCCTCAAAAATTAATAACAAAAATTTTAAACAAAATTATTTAATGCTAAAAAAATAAAAAAATAAATAAAATTTATTTTTTAAACTAGCTGTTGTGTAATATTTATTATTTAAACTAAATATTTTAACTTACAAAAATAATTATTTATGGACCATATTAATTTCAATATATCTTTACTTTACAATAAAAAATTAAAATGCAGATAGGCGCATTTCCTTAAACAGCGATGACGTTTGATTTATTTTAATTGTCAAGGTGTTGCTTTGTTTATCAGTAAGCCCGATAGAAAATAAACAAATGCTAATGTCCAGGGAAATAACTTTTTTGTATGACAAAAAATTACCTTTCAGTCATAGTTATTTTATCTTTTTTTAATGCAATTAAAAATCAAGGTTTGAGCAATAATTCAATAAAAAAAGGTAAGGGGCCCAACTATCAACCCCTCTGTGGAACATAAATTTTATTCTCCAATTAAATCAATAATTAAATGAATTAAATAATAATGAAACTTAAATTTATACAGAAAAAAAAATCTAACTATCATGATAGTAATATATTTAATACTACTTTTATAATATATTTTTTTACAGTTTTCTTATAATTTTTGTCAATTTTTATTTTTAATTCGAAAATAGCCATAAATGAGAAATTGAATATAAACCATATCACTATTATTTTTTTATAGTTAAATCATTGATTATTTTAAAAAAATTAAATATGCGAATTTTTATAATTTAATAATTACTCTAATATGAAAAAAAAAAAACGCATTATTAAATTACATATAATACCTTTCATCTCTAGAAAGGTGCTCGCTTATAACAATGACGTCATTTCTAGGAACACAGGCCGTTTTCACTATGACGTCATCAGTCGGCCCGAGAAGCCTCACTTCCAGTGGTTGATCTAATTTTATTCTTGTTTCTTGTTCCAGTCTTCTAGATTCCATTTCTCTTTGATGTTTTGCATGATGCACATCCAAATCTAACGAACTCATATTTTATCACAGAAAAATTTCGATTTTGCACGAAAAAGAATATCACAAATATCTTGCGACTTTTTCTATCTCGTTTGTCCTCTCTTCAGAAAACCGTCGCAAGTGTGTGTTTTCGACTTGAGAAAAATCAGTTTCGTTCTCTGTGGACTCCTTGACATCCTGATGAATCAGCTGGTTCTTTTTAGGCGCCTGATGGCAGCACCTCGCAGCTGTGGGCAAATGCTGAATTTATAGAAACCGTTTTCGGTTTGCTTATTTTGCAACAGATTCCGTCCACTTTCCACACTGCATATTAAATATATCTCATGCTTAGAGCTGCAAAACGTGCTTCTGTAAATAAACTCTAAAAGCAATTTGAAGAGTAAACTGACATCGAAAATTACTCAAACGAGCAGGAAACGTTACTAGTAAAAAATCTTTTTCTGAGGCGGAAAAAAAATATCTTAGTTCTCACATTTTTATACTTAATGAGTTTAAAAATTGCTCGGCGTAAAATAAAATTTAAGTTCAAGCGTTCTTGATTTTTATTTTTCATGATCTTATGAAATCATGGCGAAAAATGAAATTTAAAAGCTTAGTTTGTAAACTAAATTAAACACACATTTCGTTCATGTATACTATATGATACCTTACGCCTATCATTAACTGAGAAAAAGAGTGGTCCTTCAGAGCTTGATCTTCTTTAAGCCTTTTCGTTATTTTTTAGACTGTATTTCTTGAGAAAAATTATAGCTCTGTTCTTTCCATTCATTTCTATTAGTTTTCTATTTGTTCGAGCTTATCAAATCTTCTTTCTATCCCTTTCTGGTCTGGATATAATTCTTCAATCAAATCAAATGTTTAAAATGAAATATATTTTCAAGCAAAAAACGTTGATACGTATTTGAGTATTCGTATTCGTGTGTTTAGCAGTTAAGTTTCCTTATAATATCTTTTATACATAAAAACAAAATGGTGACAAGAATCCAAACAATGCATAATTTTAAAAGTCTCAAATTTTTTCTTTGTTCCTTACTGCAGCAAAAAATTTCGTGAGACGCTTATAGCTCTGCATTAAGACCAAAGGTGGTTACTTTGAAAATTTGTTTACATGTTGCATTTGTATTGTTGCATGTTGCATTTGTAGATAAGTTGAAAAATAATTGTTATAAGCACATCCAAACTTCATCAGACTATCAAACTGGTTTTTATGTTTTTTCATTCATTTTTCCTCAGAAGTGATTTGACAAATTTCTATTGCGCTCGTTTTTTTTCTCGATTAAATATTTATTTGCGAATCCTAATGTGTATTTTTTACTTTATTTTTGTTAAGATTTCTAAAATGTCATTAAGGGTGGTCTTTCTCGAGCACCTTGTAAAATAATAGATCAACGAACATTTTTAGAGCATCTTTACTATGAGCATGAAACTTGTGTAACAAAAATTTGAATGTTTATAAATAATATATATTTATGATATAATATTTTTCTCAAAAACTCTTACTTTTAATTAATAATTACATTTTAATAATTAGTTTATTAATGATCATAGTTTTAATTATTTTATGTAAATCATTGCTTTTTCGTATTCCACAATACTTTAACTTGCCCTTTTAATCGAAAATATTCAAATTCTGGACATATTTTCCCCTATACTTTAGATTAAAATATTCGAACTTTCGTTTTTTATTTTTTAAAATTACCTTTTTTAAGTATAGCATTAAATCATGACAAACTATGTGATTTACGAAGAATTTTGGGACGTTTGGAATCTACAGAATATCATGCTATACTATGCGATCATCTGATGTCGTTTGAATCTTTTTTAGATACTGTTCATCGTCGACCAATTAACAGATTGTAGTTATGGAAAACATCGACTCGACCAACTGGTAATTTTGATGAAAAGCTGAGTGTTTGGGGTTATGAGTGAAAGGGAGGACCAAAACTTTTTTTGATCTGTTTTTAGACAAAGCAAGATAATTATTTAATTGGTCACAAGAATTTGTTTTTAGATAAATGGTTTTATAATTTGTTAAGCGTATATTTTTTGTAAGTTTATAATTATGGCATTATTAAAATTTTTCGAAACTTATTTAATTATAAATTTTTCATAATATAGACATTACAATATTATTAAAAACTTTATAATTTTAAAATAACCAAAATTAAAATTGTCTCTTAATTCATAGAAATTTTTTTAAAAATTTTTATTAATTTTTGGGCTATAATTTATCCGCAATAAAGGTTTAATAAGTTTTATAGAATTTAATATTGATCGTGACCATAAAAAAATTTGACACTGCTCTTGAACTCATAAAAAATTAATTGAAAATTATTACCTTTATCATTTAGTTTCTACATATTCTTTTTTTTTTCAAATGAAATGGAGATAATTATTCTTTAATCCTTTAGTAATTTATGAATAAATTTTTATAGAAAATGCCTTCATAAACTAAGTTGCCACAATGAATTTTTTTTTCCATGCATTTCCCATTATATTTCCAGAAAGTTATTGAAGCGTTAAATTAAAGTGTGAAGCTATATATAAAAAGAATCGATTACATTCACCACACGAATAGAAAGAACTAAGGAAATGACTTACAAAATCATAATAAGGAAAATTTGATTTTAAAAACTAGTTGCATAATGAAATATACTTTACTAAAATAATATTTTTCTAACATAAACGGAGAAGTAATTAATATTCAAAGTATTAGGTGGATTGGCAAGTAATGTCGTTTTGGTGCATTAGATTTTTCATAACAATATCTTATTTTCAATCAATAATGTATTCACCCTCGTTGGCAACAACCTTTCAGTACGAGATCGAAAATGAATCGAAATGGATAGAAAAAGATGAATTGGTTTTTAAGACTAATGAATATTTAATGAACGACAATGGCAGAAACGACATTACTTTCCGGTCCTCCTAATATCTGGAAGTAGTGATCCAGTTAAGAATTCTTTAGTTAATTAACTTAACAAAAATTTTAAAGCGTGTATTTAATTACTCCTAGGTATGCGTACAGATACCGGGAGATAATTTCAATATGCAGATAAATACCCGATTTTTCAGGCATGAAGCAAAAACAGATAAGCATCTAGTCCCGTTTTTCAGGACTCTATCTTATAATGACCGTGACAGGAGCACTACTTAATTTTGTTCAGATGACGTGGACAGAGTCTGATCTGATTCCCCTCACTCCAAACACCACTCCAACGAAAGAACTTTCAGCCACGGCAAATTTTGTGCACCTTTCTTCTTGTACACGTCAGTCGTTTAACCGACTCTAACCACCATAATCAAACCGACTTTAGCTTTCCACCAACTCTGTGACCTAAACATCTATTTCTTGCTAATCTAAATGTATTAACTACATGCATTTACCTAAGTGCCTCTAATTCTTCTTCCTTTTGAGCCAATCGCTTTTCGTAGTCATGTCTGAGTTGAGCCAATTCTTGTGCCAACCTCTGTGCCTTGGCTTCTTCTTGCTTCCTGAGTGATTCGGCTTCGCGGTATGCAGCGGATAGTTCCTCTCTTTCTGTTTCCAGCCTCTTGATTTCGAGATCCATCTCATGGATTCTGCGAGTAGCCTCACTCAGTTGGTTCTTGCAATCGCCCAAATCATCTGCAAACAGAATTAAGATTAGTATAAAATTTATTTTAACTACATTTTAGTTTATTAAAAGTATTCGGCATTTCGAAAACTTAGAAAGGAGATTTATTTTTCTAAATTCTAACAAATTTTACATTTAAGGAAAGATTTATTGTCACTGTTAAGTCAAAGATTACAGTTGAACGTAATCGTTAAATATTGATTAAAATGTACCTTCTCGAAGTTAATATTAACTTAAAAGAGACAACTCATTAATAGCAGTATTATTTAAGTTATTTTGGTATAGTAGATTAAACATCTTATTTTGCACTTATATTTAAAAATTTCGTTTAATTGGATAAAGTCTGTAATCATAATTTACGATATCTAACATCATTCGATGAATTTCAGACACGAAAACAAAAATTGTTCAGTCAAAAATTTAGCAATTTCTCCAAGTTAATCTAAATTCATAATCATTAACAATATTAGTGTAATAGATTAAACTTCCAAATTTGCATTTTAGCTAAATACTATATATTTATTGATAAATATTATAATTTAGGCTAATTTCATATTTAATAACCGTCGTTAAACAGCCGATCTAATTTTGGGTTTACGACTACCGTTATTCATCTCCGTAACCTTGTAATTTTGAACCCAATCCAGAAGACAAGGGAACTCCTGGATCAAGTATTGGGAGAAATTTGCCCTCGTTGAGGACTTTTTGATGGAATTAAGCCGCATTTGGGTTACATGGAGAGGAAAACCGCTAAAACCTCCCACTGTTAGCCTGCCGGTAAGGGGACTCTAACCCTTGATCCGTCTACCACTGAGGGTATTTTAGTCAGCACTGGGGTTGGTGCAAGCCTGATGCAAAATTCCTATCGACTAGCCATCGCTGGGATTCGAACCCCATTCACCTCACTGGAAGGCAAACGCTCTATCCCTTGAGCCATCTTGGCTTAATTTAGGCAATTGTATTATTTTCTCGAGAAGAGAAAGATTACAAAAAAAAGAAAAGAAAAGAAACTTTCTGTGCAAGCTTCTATGCTATTATGTTATGAATCTGAATTTCGTTGAATTGGTAAATATATTGGACATATGGGGATACTATTAACGTACTACATCGTATTGGTGTGTTCTGTTCGTATGTTGTGTTATGTTATGTTACGTTATGTTATGAATATCGTATGTTATGTTCGCTATTTTTGTATGAGCAAGAGTTATTTTTGTATATGATATATAAAAACTCACTTCCTTCCATACATTGACTACTAAAGAGATGCACCGCAATTGGCTAACTTGCACAAGTTTTACTATACAATTTAATATGCATGTTTTAATTCATTTCATAAAATGGTGGCCAAAATAACTTTCAATCAGATTGATTAAACCAAGAATGTATTCAAAAAATATTTTACCTCAACTTTTAATAATAGAAATAAAATCTCTTCGGAAAGAGATTTGCAGTTATATTGATGTAAGTTTAAAACGCAAGATTCATTTTAAAATTAAAAAAAAGTGCAATTCAAATATTTTTAATAAAAATATAAAAAATGATAGAAATTCTGCCTGTTCCTTCAACTGTAAGCAATGTGCTTTATGAAAAATAATAATATTGTTAAATACATTTTTATACTTTCCTTAAGTGTGATGCAAAATTAGGTAAATAAATTAAAATGTAGTCTGAATTTCTTTTGGAAAATTTTGATGATTACAGATACAAAAAGAAATTTTTGTTCCTACGCAAGACATGTTTCATCCTGTTCAATTAAATAAATATTCTTTCTTTCATTCATTATTTAGATCCTTATCTGAGTTCTAAACTGAAGATTTATTGAAAATTTCTAAATTTGTTGAGATATGATCAATTATGAAGAAAAACGCGTTCCTTTGTGTTTACATAGTTATAAAAGCCTAATATAAAAGTAAAATGTTACTTTTTGTTAAAAACGTAAATATACTGGATAAAATTTTGAGAAAATTTAACAAAAAGTTCCTTCTAGTTTTTGAGCAATGATGTCATAGTAAATGTTCTATTTAAAGTGGGTTTAAAGATTTCTTTATGTACAATATGTATATCAACCTTAATTTTTCAATCGAATATAAGTTTGCATCTATTCAACAAATTTTCTTCTTAAAGATTATTCCTTTAATTTGTGTTTAATGTTTCTGGATATGTTAGTTAAAATCAGGTTGATTTGAACCATAAATGTCAAAGTACGCAGGTACAAATGTGAGAAAGTTAGAATTCTGTATTATTATTTTTGTCATGCAATGTATACGTGCCAGATAATTTCTTGTTTTCTCTGAGAAGTGCATCTCTTTGGTCCTTGAGCTTGTCATAGTCATGTTGCAATTTTTGTAATTCAGCCACTTTAGCCCTGAAATCTCTTTGTGCAGCTTCCAGGAGAGCGATGAGTTCGTCCATCTTCGTTTTCAGATCATGATTCATCTTCTCAAGCTGTGCGCATTTCTTTTCCATATTTTGAGCGTGAGTTGTAGCCTATAGAAAGACAATGGATTATTGCGATTAATCACAACAGCTTAATTTTAGGTTACATTAAAAATTCGTTTTTCAAAAGATTTTCTGTATAAGGGGAAAAGTTTCACATTTAACGTTTCTCAAAAACTGTGAATGCCTTTGGCATCGATAAAACGAATTAATGAGGTATACAGTTTACTATTTTTTGGTTTGTATTGTAATTAATTAATGCTGAAACAACATTTTCCTTGCATTGAAACAACATCCATCTTCCTTGTATCAAATCAACATAATATGTCGGGGGGGGGTAAGTATGAATATTATGCTAAACCAAATTTTCAAATTGTTCAGGAAAGTTTTTTTAAGGTCGTTTTTTAGAAATAAGTAAGATATTTCTGAGCATTGTGGTGTTATACAATATTTTTTTAGAAGCTTGTTATTTGCCTGTCTGGGGAAAATATTAAGGAACAAGCTAATATAAAAATGTCACATTTGGAGAAGGTGTGACTTATCCCTATATTGTCTCAAGCCAATGACATAGTATATTAACAGCAAGGATCGTATGTGTAACTTAAAACAGCCAATGAGTCTTTCGGTTATCTGTTGATACAAAATTACAAGATCACAATGCTAAGAAAGCATATAGGATTTGATTTTTTTTTACAACTGCCATTTAACAAACAACACACATCAAATTTCCGGCTATCAATGTTCAGCTCCATAGCCTCTCTTGTATTTCTGAAACGAACCAAAAAGGCGTTGGAGTTCCTAAATCAAGCATTGGGACAAACTCATTTTCTTGAAGAATTGTCTTAGATGAAAGGAAAACCCTCTCACGGTTAGCATGATGGCGAGGGGATTTTAATCCATGATCCGTGTACAATTTGGAATATCTAACATAGACACGTCTACAGGAAGATTAAATAAGGAAATAAGAAGCTAAGCTCTGGCTAACTAAATAAAAAACTTAATATAATTATTTACCTTTTCTAAGTCCATTATCAGAACTTCTACTTCACTCTGTAAGCGTGACTTGTGTTTCTCAAGAGCACTGCATTTATTCAGAAGGGCCTGGAGTTGTTCTTCGTATTCAGCAGTCTTTTGGGCAATGCGGCGTCTGAAAATTACAACAATATTACAGGTTGACAAAAAAAAATATATATTTTCTTTATAAGTTTAATATTTTAAAATAATCATCATTTTCTGTTTAATGAAAAAATTATGAGTTTGAATAACAGGTTAGAGTTTTACATTTAATAAAAACATTTATTTGTCCCGTCGACTCAATTTTTTTTGTCAATACAATCTTAAGTTCATAGTACTTTAAACAAATCGCATTTTTAAAAAAATATCTAAAAGCATAAAACCGTATGTAACTTGATGAAACATGTTAGTTTCTTCATACAATAAGAATAAAAGCTGTGATAATAAAATAAAAATATTTAATTACATTCTTAAAAGAAAAAAGTTCTGTTTAATTTACAACCTTTAACTATGATATTAGCAAGTTTTTCAAACCTTAACGAAATGTTAAGTTGAACTTTGTTTAGATTAAAATTAAATAAAAATAAGTCATTGAGAAGGAATAATTTGCAAGGGAGTATGGTATAAATTTCCAATTTATTAAGGTTTGCGGTAAAACTTGCCTAATGTTATATAATTTATGATTCTCTAATAGTGTTGACAGAGCATAGTATTTTTATTTTCTAATTATTATTCTAGGCTATTAAGACGCAATTACTTAAAAATGTTGTACATATTTATTTTTTTCAATCTGTATTATTCGTAAAAATAGTTATGTTATGTATGTTAGGCGTCTATTGCCTCAAGTTACAGTTAATTAATAATTACAGTTCGTAATATTGTTTTTAGAATTAATTAATTAATTATAATATAATTTTTCGAAACAAAAAATGAGATTCGTGTTGCTAATGTGCAAAAAAATCGCACTTAACATTAATGACTGAAATAGTATTATCCAAGCTTTAAAATCAACAGTTTATATACTTGAAACTTGAAATAATTGAAAAATCAATAAGTTAATGAAGAAGCAATTTTTTCCTATCCATTTTATGTTAATACGAATTTCTTTTTTATGAACGCAACTATATTTTTAAATTTTGCTCACTGGGCTATATTACCGAAAACCGTCTTCAAAACTATCCGTGCAAATTAAAAGCCACGTGCAATTTTTATTTTCCTGAGGTTGAGTGGAAATCATTTACGGAATATTCAATCCTCCATTCAGTTATATGTTCTGCATCAAAAACTACATACAAGGTATGAAAATACTGCTCTACGAATCATCGGAGAACACTGGGCCATTATGATTATTCTTTAATAAGATGTTTTTGATTTTTCAAGTCAAAGTAGTCAAAGTCAAGCTCATAAATCTACACTGCCTGTTTTACCGGGGCTCTTACGGTCCTTAGAAAACTTAGAAATTAAAAAAAAAGAGATGTATCTTAACAAATTCGTAATCACCACCAAGCTTGATAATTCCAAATACATACATCTTGTTTTGAAATATGTAGGTTCAAATTTTAAATTTTAAAATGAAAGGTAATGAAAAGATATTAGTTAATTTTTTATTATAATATTGGTACTACTTTATAACGTTTATAAGAAACGTACGAAGCCTATTTTCTCGATTTATTTACATATATGTCACTAAACCAAGCTGTTTTTGGGCTGATTCTATGACCGTTTTACTTTTAAGACCACAACGTTCAGGAAAGCATTAGTGGATGTTCCTATTTCCAAGATCGATCTAGTTTTGATCGACCTTTAGACACACTCTGATGAAACGAAAATTAACATTTTGATTTACTCTCCTGCATTAATCGCAGTAACTATTCATGAAACAGAAATGTTATTATGCTGTCGAAGTAACTCTTTCTTCCAATCTTATGAAAATATCAATTGGAATCCTAACCTTAGTTCGTCGACCTCATCAGCATGAGCCTGGCATTCCGCTTCATATTTAGACTTCCAAGTTGCAGCTTCTCCGTTAGCCTTGGACAACTGTCTCTCCAAGTCCATCCTAGCTTCAGATTCCTCGTCCAGTTGTGTCTTCAGGCTTTCCACTTCGATTTCCAAAGTGTGAGAGTGCTGCTCCAAGGCAGATCTCCTCTAAAATTTCATAGTAAAGAGATAAGTAGAAAAAAAACGTTTAAAATGTTTAAAATGTTGAAAAACTGTTTATAGTAAGTTAAATGATCTTTTGAATAAAATCTTTTTTTGTAGTTTAAGATCTTAGCGTAACTATCTTTAAATACAAATTGAAGCAAAACCAAACCTTTACCACGTCCCTGATTTTTCAGTAATGCAACACCCAAAAGAGCTGAATTTTTGGGAAATATTTGTAAAATATTTGCACTTACTGATCGAATAAGAGAGAAACTATTTATAACATATTTCTTAAGAGGGATAAGTTTTTTACCTATTTTTTTCTGGTACCAGATTCTTGCTGCGTTTAGAATGTTTTCCTTAAAATAGGTCTTTAAGAATCAAACAGTAAACCAATTACTGCAAATCAATTTATGGTAAATTGAGAAGCAATTCAAAGGATGTTGAGGCGGAAATCTTTCCATCTTAGCGCTCCTAAATCCACGATGGTCTCTTCAATTATTAAATGCTTCAGAAATCGAATATTTACAATAATTGTTTGCTTTTAACAAATCTTAAATTTTTTGGTCGAGTTTAAGTTTAAAAAGCAGTTACTTTTTTGTTTTAGAGTTTTATGACATTCTTTTTTTATTAAATACTTTATGGAAAAGCACAATGGTTGAAGAAAAGTGAAGTTGTCTTTTTGTTTTTAACTTTGTCGAATGCAAGTTTTCGAAACATACCCTTTCTTCTTCCTCGAGTCGTCGTCTCATTTCTTCCAATTGAGTGGCCAGTTGACCTTTGATGTGGTTGGCATTGTCTAACTGCATTTTGTATTCCTGAGTTTCCTTCATGAGCTCAACATTTTCTGAGCTAAGCCTGGCCCTCTGGGAGCTTACTTCTGTCACCTGCCTGTTCAATTCCTCAATGTGAATGTTCAAGTCGTGGATGGAGACTTCCAGCTTTTCAACTGTCTTTTGAGCAATTACCTGTTGCAATGATAGATAGTATGATTTATTAAACACAAGTATGAACGATTTTAGTGATTTTCAACATTGCAGCGAATATTAATTTCTAAATGATTTGTATAGTTGCTAATAATTCCACAAATCTACATCTTTAGTTCATAAATTTAAAAATTATTTTCGAGGTTAATTTTAAGTCAAAAAACATTATTTTGTTACTAAATTTAAAAAAAAAAAGAAGATAGAAAGCTGAGATATAAGCCTTTTCTGTCACAGCATACATACTGGATCACATATGTTGATGACACAAAATAGTTTATCAATATCATAGTAATAGGAGCTGAATAATTTTTATTCTATTCAGTTTTCTTCAATGTCGAATAATTATTTTTTGTTTTCTTAAATAAAATTATAATTTAAATTTTTTTAACACGTTCTTTTTTATAGCTAAACTACAACACAGCTATTAGTTATACATTTGATTTAACAAATTTTTTTATGGAATTTCTTAAATAAGAAAAGTATAAAAGATTAAGAACAACAAATGTCAAAAGGCAAACGAATACATCCATGAAATGATACTAGCAGCAATTTTGATGTCAATGGTAGAGAATCAAATTATAAAATTATAAAATTTTAGTGTCAACTTAACAAACTTAGATCAAGTAATACTGAAAAATTAAAAGAAAAGCATTCAAAATAAAATCAGTAATGTTCTCACATGTATTCCAATAAATTTTGGCTTAATTGTGCTCTTCAATGTAGAAAGAGGATTAACACGTTATTAATAATCTAACTTTAAAATACTTACTTTGTCTTTGTTAGCATTGTCCACTTGTGCCAGCAAATCGTAAACTTCAGCTTGAAATTTCTGTTTTTCTCTCTCAATCCTATTAAATAGAGCAAAAGAAAAACATGATTACTTTATTTAACAATTGAAAAAAATATCTTTATTATACATCTAAACATTTAAGTTGAAAATTAAGATTTTGTATCGATTAAAGTTGATAAAATTATATATCAAATTGAAGTTCAATAGAAAAAAAATGGAAACAAAATCAATCAAAATTGCTGAAATAAAAATCGTTCTTCCTATTTTGAATTCTGAACTCACAAAATAAAAGTGTATGGAAAATTGTTTATGTCATTTTAATGTATATTTATGTTTAGAAACGAAAATAATCAAACAAGATAGTAATGGAATAAGTCTGTTAATATATTCATCCGAACTCATAACGAAAAAAAAATCTTTGTTCAATGGGATCTCCCTGATTTTTCAGTA